AAATTACTGATTACAATGTGACATTTTCTGCAACAAACGATTAAATCTAATGATTATACTTCAAAATAAATTTTGTAGCTTACTGATGCTGAAAAGCAAATTGATAGCAGGAGCACTTTTGAACACAGGAATGAGCACTTAAGTACCCAACACACAGCTGAGTAGACTGAATGAGGGTAGTGTGAACTTCATGATAGAGTGTAAATAATGCTTCATGGATTTACTGAAATTTGTAGTGTTTTGAGTTACCAAATCGAACAATCTGGCCAAGGTTACTGGACTGCTGAGCAAGAATGCACCATTGGATACAAACGAGGGTCCATGTACAGTACAGACAACCTTCAACACCATTCTAAATGTATCCTGCTTCTATACAGCTGCAAAGTGACTCAATTATACAACTGGAAGAAGTATTCCAGTAGTGTAGATGTTTATCATTTGGTTTATGGTTTTAGGAGCTTTTTTCCTTAGTGTGGTTAGGATGGTGTAAAGTTCGCTGTCCTTACCATAGACTGACAACTACATTAGAACAGCAAGCAGCGTGTGCTCAAGTTAACCTCTGTAAGATTACCATGGATGTGATTCAGTGATGATTATGACAGGGCAATGGAGTGTCTAAACAACAGGGCCTGGAGAAGGCAGGTCAATTCTGGTTTTTAAGATCTCTACAAGAGTTCTCTGTACTGCTCTGGGATTTAGATGTCATCTGTTCTTTGTAAATTGCCTCAAGCCTAGCAGTCTACACAAATAATTAAACTTGCCCTTGTTACATGGCATAAAATAAGGATCCATGCTGTGTGTTTGAACAGCACAGCACCTGGACTGTTCAGTCTCCTTTTCACAACCATGTTAAGTCATGTGGAATAAACGCCATAGGAATCTACCAGTAATGAATAATTTTCTAAGCAAATGCTTTAAATAGGCTTGAATTAAATGGTTCACAAATAAGACCAACAATGTGTCATTCAGCAAATGCTGTGGAGCTCTTATTTTTACCTTAGTTTTTCTGTTCTTGTCAATTTGTTTCATTG